GAATTGTAATCGCGAAAAGCTTCAGGCAGCATATTTCAACGAAAATATCCACTCTGACCGCTTTCGAATGCAATTTAACGATGTTTTTGCGTGATATCTGTACGTAAGGACAGAATAAAAGACTCTTTTTTTTCCAAAAAAAATAAAAAACTGCTTTAAAATGAATTCTGAAGAGAATCTTTCGTGGCGTCCGTACGAACGTATGTACGTACATATCTCGCATAACCTAAAACGAGTAGCCTCAGAACGTTGAAATTTGTGATATAAGACTGCTATAACATGTAGATGTGCACCTCGTATTTTGGTTTTCAATCGGCCAAGCAAACGTATATAAATATATTTATAAATATATCCACTCTGTTACCCGGCTCAGTGATCTCAGTTTCTTTACTCTTATATGTTTGTAAATTGTACATTTTTTGCTTTAAAAATGATTGAATTATGTTGTTTTTATCTTCCGATTAAGGGTTTTATGCCTTTAGTAAATCTGTATGCAATATTTTTAGAATTATCAACAATTTTAAAATTGCTTAACTGCCGCTAAGCCTAATTTGATGGCGGCCATTGCTCTTTTTTACATTTGAAACAGCTGAGTAGCGGATTTTTTGCCAATTTAGAAAAACTTAGCTTCGCAACAACAAAGATAACGCCTTCATTTATTATTTAAATCATGCTTAATCCTTTCTGGAATTTTTTCGAGGAAATAAGCGTTTAAGATTGACTTCGTAATAATTTTAATACAATATTTTGAGTTTTTATGTATTTTTGCCTTGTCGCGAAGTGAAAAACTGAATTAATTGAATGAGAAATACTCAATCGTCTGTGAAAAAATGTTTCTTTTTTGTTTTGTTTGCTTAATTTCTTTTATAAATCGTTCTAGCTTTATTATAGTATTTGAATAGAACATGTGGCAACGATTAGATAATTCTTAAATGATATAACTTTGTGCATTCTGAGTTATAATATGAACGAAATATATACTGTTAAGTAAACTAGCGCCAGAGTGTCGCTATGGTAAACAAAGTGAATTTTTAAAGAATGCATTTATCTATTGTGGTTTATGCGCTGTCGGCGAAGTAGGTTTAATTCAATCTAATAAGTTTAAATGAAATGCAAGAAAAATGCGTATAATTTAATATTCCCTACAAGGAAGTCATGTGGTTGTACACATCAGTTTTTTATGTGTGTTTCTATATTTGTAATAATAAAATTCCATAGTCAAGGTACACTTAAAATTTAACTGTATGTTCTTTTACATTACTGGATATTTCAAATTTTTAATACTTCAATATTTTGGTTATCTGGGGTAACTTTACCCTTTATAATTTCATAACCTAGAAAGTTGATTTTATCTTTGGCCAAAAACACATTTACTCTGGTTCAATTTAATACCTTTTGAATAAATATTTCAAATAATTCACTCAAAATGCTTTAGATGTTTCTTTGGAAGAAGAGTAAACAATTATGTCATCAAAATAACTACAAGCAAATTGGATTTTATTTTTAGTGAGATGCGTTTAATAACTGGTTAAAGATAGCCGGTGCATTTTGAAGCCAAAAGTAGTCTTAGCCATTCATACAGTAAAAATTTGTAATAAAAGCCAATTTTTCGGTGTCATCAGGGTGATGAATAGGAATGTGCCAAAACCCTGATCTTAGATCTATTGTAGAAAAAAAAACATTTGCATTACTTAATTTGTCTAATAAAAAGTCTATCCGGGGCAGGGGATGAGCATCAGTCTTTGCTAAAGCATTCAAGTTACGATAATCAATACACATTCTGATTTTTTTTTGCCCTCATCGCGTTTTAATACTAAAGTTACTGGGGATGCATAAGGAACTACTACTTTCTTTAATAATTCCATTTTTTAATTAATTGATCAATTTGTCGTCTAATTTCTTCTTCTTCCTTAGGGGAGCTTGATAAGGTCTTAAAGTGACAGGCAAATCAGAAGTCAAGTTAATTAGTTGTGGTTCAGTGTTTATTTTACCTACATCATATTTATTTTTTGAAAACACATTCTTATATTTAATAACAATTTAATTAAGTCAGGTTTTCTTTCTCCATACTCTCTGAATCTGTTGTTATTTCACTTTTGTTTTTTCACATCATTTTTGACTTTTTAGTTTACATTACTTTCATTATTTAAATTAACTCTTGTTACCTTAGACATCTTATCATCATTAAACTTCAATATTAGACTTATTACTTCCATTAACTATTATACCTTTAGACACTATTTTCATTAGATATATATTTTTCATCAACACTTATTACCTCAGAGATATTACTTCTAGGTTTTGTCTTAACTGATGGCATTACATTACTGTTTTTTTTTTCAAGTACTTGATCAAGCTGTACATGCAAAGAAACTCTGTTATTTACATTCACAGAATTTGAAATGTTTCATTTCTTTGAGTTACCACTAAATTACTACAATCATTTTTAATTCAAATAATTTACATTCATTTAAACCCAAAAGAACATAATCTAAATTAGTACCTAACACTAACAAGTTAATTAAGTTTAATAATATTTCCAATTTTCATTTGTAATCTACACATTTTATTAATAAAAAAAATTTCTTTAGTTTGTCTTATTTTAATACCTTTTACCTTTTGAATTTTTAACTGTAACTTGTTTGCAGATTTTTCTGAGGTGATAGACAATGTCGCGCCAGTGTCCACGACACAGTCGACAGATCTGCCATGGGATAAAAATCCCTTAATTCTTAGGTGTCAAATTCCCGAAGAATCAGACCCCGAATTTTTGTTTTCCACATTAGAATTAGTTTCAGTTTTGTTGTTCTCATTTCTGAATGGGCAGATTTGAGCCCAGTGATAACAATTTGGTATCCCTTTTTTGGTACATATTCTACAAGGTGATGGGGCGATACCGTCAAAATTACTATTAGTATGGTGACTTACAACTTTCTTTCGTTGTTATTGCTGTTAAATTTATTTCCAATTTTTTGAAAACTATGTAATTAGATGGATTGGGTCGATTAGCAACAAACTGACGGTTATTATTTCGGAAATTAGCTTGTCTGAATTGTTGACTATTCCTATCTCTGTTATAATTTTGTGAATTTTCATCTTTAAATTCATGAATTTGTCGAAGTTTGTGGGCTTGTTCTAGCCAACTTCTCGGATCAGAGGGACTTTGAACAATCATCAAAGACTTTAAGTTCGTTGGAAAACCATCTGTCAAACCTTCTAAAATAATTGATTTATCCAAATTAAGCCGCTTACCCACTTCCATTTTCTTTCGAAAGTTATTTGTGATGTCTGCTCTGGCGTTATATTTTAAATTAACGAAGTCTCCAAAAGTAGTAAAGTAATGTGGTAAAAGTAATGTGGGATCGATGAAGTTTTCTTTTAATATTTGTTCAAATTCTGAGTAAGATTTTAGCTCATGGCAATTTTTAATATAGAGCCAGAGGGCTTTTCCCTTAATGTAACGAGAAATATTTTGAAGTTTTCCAATTTTCGTCCTATTTTGGCAGACTTTGCTAAAATAACCTAACCAAGAAATTATGTCACTGGTCCTTAGAATCTTCAAATGGAAATAATTTTAAATTTATTGTATTTGATTTCACGTTCAGTGAATCGTCAAAATTAACGGGTTCCTGATTTGTCGACATAACTGAAACTTTAAAATTTTCTTGAGAACAAAAAACGTGCACTTTTCTCAAATATTTTTACAATAGTTAAAATATTTTTTTAAAACCAAAATCTCTTCGGAGTATTATCAACACTTCATAGAATAATAGACTTAGATAAAAATTTTGTATTCCCAAACTTTTATGATTATCACTACACATTTCGGGATAATATTAAATCTTACTTAGAATACTATTAATTAGAAGACTTGAAATTTAAATAAACTCTAATTACGTTAACATAATATATTTAAACTGAACTATTGTCGTAGCATCTTAGTTTACACAATGAGAAAAAATAATTTCTTAAAATCTGTTCTTACTTGGCTATTTAGTGCGCTATTTAATCCTGCTCGTTTGTGTGCAGTTAAGTAAAAACACAGCATAAATGATTGAAATTCTTCAGCTTCTTTCCAGCAGACGATATCCAAATCATGTGGTTCTAACTATGAGACGCGCTCACTATTCGAAGACAAAGCTGTATCACCATTCACAATTCTTCAGTTGTAAAAAACAGACACAACTTGCACTTAAAAAGTTCTTTATCTTCCATTGGAGTTACTTTTCTTTTGGGTACATTCATCCTGCCGACTCCTTGTGATGTACCAGCTTTTGTCTGGAATAAATAGTTTAGTGAAGAATCATAGATGTAGTCGTAGCTTAAATTATCAGACGATAAGTTTAAAAAACAGGATCCATTTATTATATTTCAGGGAAGAAGCAATTACAAAAATCTGATCTTCGAAGTAAATAAAAAAGAATTACTAAAAACTTTTTGTATGAAGTTTACTGCATTTGTGGCATTAAAGAAAAGTCCCCGGTATTCTTTTGCGAGTCCTTTTATAGCCTCTGGAAAGGCGGAGCTTCCAAGAAATGACGTCAGCCAATCCAGTTCGCTTTAAATATTTCCAGAACATTCTATAACTGTACGTTAGAAAAGGCGAGAAAAACAACTTGACTACGTGGCTGTGAATTTAATTCCACGTACTTTTAAATAAGAGAACGTCGTGATTAAAAATGAAAAGAACATGCAGTTAGAATTTTAAGTGTATTCGGACTATGGAATTTTATTATTACAATAATATATATATATATAATAACTATATATCGAACAAATATATGGAACGAAAATGAAAATAGATTATTTAAATAAATTGCATAGTACTCAATAATATTTAAATTACGCTTAATTCTTAGATTCTTAGTAAAGCTTAAACTAATTGGCACAATACATGTAGAAATAAATTTTAATTAAGTCATTCATATAAATTTGTTGATTTAGATTAATTTAGAAGTCAAATTTTGTTCGGCGTGTTATTGTATCTTAATTAATTTCAGATTACCAAGTGCCTGGTACTGCGTCCCCAAACGGATCGTGCCAGTTTTTTTACCGCAGCGAAAGCCAAAAAACGGGAGATTTCAACTCTCCCCACTATCCAGCCAATTACCCTTCCACCATGCAGTGTGAGTATTATTTTTTCGGGCTGACGGGAGAGCAAGTTAATTTAGTTTTCAATTACTTCAAGACTAAAATGGAAATTGAAGCCTATGGATACAAGTGAGTACTTATGCTAGTAATTTGTTTCCTAATATATTTCCGTAGGAAACGTAAAAACCAGTTTCTATGGAAAAATAACAGTCACAGAAATAACATTTTCCTTCTTAAGCATAAAATATAAGAATTTTGTCTAAACATTTAATTAGAATATTGTTTTTCTTGCCGATGTATGAAGTTGAAAGGAAATGTCATACATAAGAAACATTTAAAAACAATGGGCTTTCGCCCAAACCCTTTGTATAAAGCTTAAGAAAAGGTACAATGTGTAAAAACCTGAAACATTTGTAAAATAAATAATGTAATATAATAAAATTGATTTGATATATTGATATAATGGTAAACTATAGAATAATAAAAATTAACCGTCTATTGTTATACATTTACTGATATTCTTTTGACGGAGAAGATTATTAAGTTATAGTTAATAATAACTGTTACTAGCGAAACTATCATGACAAAAATATCCAAGCAAAACACTTCGCAGAAAAAACTGCAGGACGGGATACATCACCGTGCAAAATATTGTGGTAGAAAATAAAGCAACTTCCGGTTAAATGTCATCTACTCTACCTCTTATTTCTCCCCTCAATAAGGAATTTTCTATTACCAGGCTCCACATGAAACTCTTTGCATGACTGGGAAGTATTGCTCTGGCAATAAAAACCAGTACAAAACAGTATATCTCAGTCATCTGAAAAGCATAATTTCAAAAATTAATCTCGCACAAAATAAAGACAAAAATAAATCTCGCACGACGGTTATGTTGCAGACATATGGCTTAAAAGTTTCGAAGTTTCAAATGTTTTTTTCCCATGAAAAACTATGAATACGTTTTCATAAAAGGTAAATAAAATACTAGTTATTCATCTATATGTTTAAAAATCTGTTACCTATTACTACGTGCTTTTAATCTCCACTGAATTTCCTATTTTGAACGTTCAAGTTTTCTTCCTGATGTTTAAGTTAAACGTTTTAGTGATATTATACGAGAAAAATATTCCGTATGCTTTTTCGCATATTCAAGCCAGTGAATACGCAAATGAAGCCCTAGAAATTCGAGTATATTTGTCTATGATGTTTCTAATGTGATTATATACTTTTACCACAAACTTTTGTATGCCTCATAATTCAAAAGTTTTGTCGCTGCATTTCTGGCTTAATATTGAAAACACAAATGTTTATGATAAAAACTGGTTTTATTGTTTTTCAAAATATTCTCCATGAAGATTAATACACATTTTCATAAGTTTGAACCAATTTTCAAAGCAACTTTTCCACTCCGAATGAGATAACTCCAAAACATTCGTTTTGAATGCATCAATCGCTTCTTCGGTTGTCGCAAATCGCTGACCATGTAATTTATTTTTGATGAGCAGGAATAAAGTTCTTTGGGTGCCAAATCAGGGCTGTACGGCGGATGATTCATCAGTTCGATATTTTGGACTGTCGATAATTCCTTTGTTTGGGCCGATGTGTGAGAGTTCGCATTTTCATGATGAAGAATGATTTGCCTTTTTTAATTGTTAGGTAGCGAGAAGGTAGCGCCATCCGTCAGCAAAAATATTAAAGAAATAGAAAAATTATGTTTATAGCATTTCAAAAGAGTTAGGAAGGATTGTATCGATTTAAAGTCATCAACTAAACAAGATAAATCTTTGTAAATGTGAAAAACTTTCCAGAAAATCCAATCAACCAATTAAAGAAGCTCTCTGAGTAATTTTTGCAGATCCAAAAGGAAAATTATAATTAAATTTCCAGCTATGATTAGCTATCGAAGACTTGTTAATTTCACCTCTTCGACCGTTAGATTCGAACGATTCATATGAAACTTTAACGTTCTTTTAAATATGGCCGATACACCACAAACCACATGACACGATATGCTATAAATTCATCTAGCATTATATTCAGAAATGGAATCTTTTAGAATCGAAACAACGGATTTTATTGATAGGCGAGAAATGACTTGAAAATTGAGCTTCTGGAGAATCCACGCGCTTTTATAACTGACTGAACGATGAAATGGAAGGATGACAAGGTTATTAATGTTATTTCTAATAGTGGAATATGTTTTTTTGATGGTAAGCTGAAAATTTTTAAAGGTTCTCTCAATGACCACGGAAGAAAACCCTCAGTTAGTGGTAGCTGATACCAGATAACTGAGTTCATTAATAAGCAAAAGTTCTGAGGAATAATCTTTGAGGGCGTGATATACATAATAGTATAAAGAAGCCATTTTTTGCTTACCCGGGTGACATGACTTAAGCATAGGGCGATAAATTTCATCCCTCTCTACTAGATACTAGTAATGAACAGCAAGACTCGGCACTCCGTAAGTAAATTTTTCAGGTTTATAATTTCAAAAGTCCTGAAGAAGAATGTTTGATTTAAACTTCGAAACTATAATCCTGCAAATTTACATATGCTAAACCATATTCGTATTGCTCATGACTTTAATTTTTGTTCTTTGGCGTGTTCTTTAATTTAATTTAATTCTGTGTGGCAATCACAATTTTAAACAATTAACAAGTGAATTAAGACTTTAAATACAGGAATTTTTAATTAATTATTTTTATTTATTTAGTTAGTTAGTTTGTATCAAAGGTATTTTATCTTTGTGAAATATCGCTGAATATTATGTTCTGTGTGCAGCGAGATATGTCAGGAAAATTAGCTAGACATCTGCGAAGTATATGACAAAATGCAGGAAGTAAATGTTTTGTATCTTAGGTACTTGAAATTTGTGAATCATTGCTGAATTTTATTTCTCTATGCAGCGAGATATGCCAGGAAGACTGGTTAGAAATCTACGAAGTCTACCCTTCTGGCCGCGAAAGGAAGTTGGGCCGGTATTGCGGACGCACCGCTCCAGGACCTATCATGTCTGAAGTCGGAGTGGACGCAATGAAAGTCATTTTGCACACAGATGACAAGGGAGTAGCATCGGGATTCACAGCCACCTATGAGTTCTTTCCCGCAGTCACGCGATATGTTGGTAAGTCATTATTTACTGATTGACAAGTTAAATTCCGAAGAAAATTGGTGTATGAGAAATAATTTTTAGATTCAAAGTGTATACTGAGTTGTTGCGTAATTATATACATATTTTTAAATATTTTAGTTTTCTTTAGTTTAGTTTTCTGTGGCGGGAAATTAACTTGATTTTATCACTTAGCTTTATAGGTAATACACGTAATTACTTTAGGTTCTTCAAGATCTAGGTTTAAGCAACTACCTGTTTACAAACGCATGAACAAGCCAAATGAAAATTTTATATTAAAATGGAGCTATTTATTTTGTAGATTAATATCAAATAATTACAAAATAAGACTTAAATTACTCTCGATTGATCTGCACTACCTCTAAATTCGTAAATCACCTACCACCAGTAGATCTACTATCTATGTTATGAAGCGAAGCGGGATTTAGTTTTCAGTAAGTTAGAGGTGACGAAATTCGGTCTGCTTCTGAAATCCTGAATTCCCTCCAAAACTACGTGTATGTGGTATTTTGTTTAATATAATTCCAGAATGACCCTCCCAATTTATAACCTTTCATCTAATATATATACTCCATTAAATGACTGGACAGATTTCAAAATGCATTTCCGTGTACATAAAGATATCATGAGTAATATTTTTAACGTATATATACGGCTTAAGTTATTTAGCGTTCTTTAAATTTGTTGTGAGATAAAGAATTCAGAGGTTCAGTTAGACCAAGAATAAAGGTTTATTTAGATATCATAGGAACAGATGCGTTCAACATAAAAGGTTTGGCGAAATAAAGCTGCTAACAGCAACTACAGCTCCTAAGCTTATTTGCAACAGTTTACCTAACTACACTGGAACTAGACATACTCTGGAAATAAAGACTAACTGCATCCTTATTTATACAAGCATAGCTCACTGAATTCAGCAGTCAGTATTGGTTAATTTCACGGACTTGGATCTGAGCTATACCTGGTTTACATACAGCTTTAAAATATGAAATAATACTATTAGCTTAGAAGATACTGAGTCTGCAACTATATTCAGAACAACATTGGCATGATTTTATGATGTGAGAGGAAATCCGAACTTGCGTCAAGAGATATAAAATAGGGTTGAGTCAAGACCGAAATGCTAGTAAAATCTGAAAATAATTGTTACATCTTCAATAAGATAATTTTTATAATAAATGCCATCCTCAGGTGAAGAATAAAATGACGTCTTCCATATACATGATAAACATTTATATAAGCTATAAAGTAGTTGAACAACAGAGTAGAAACATGATATTAAACAGCGCTTAGCACGTCTCGCCTACATGCGGATACTCACCATTGACGTTGGCTAACTACATAGAAAAGTATTACGCAGCAGAGAACTTGCTTATCATGCGCATGCGCTAGGGGAATCAACGGCGGTTGCCATCCTCAAGTTTACAAATATCTAATTACTATTTAAAAATTTAAATCTCAGTTGATACTTCTGACTAGCAGTTTCGTATAATGATAACGAATGAATTTCTGAATCCGATGTTCTGATATTTTATTTTGATTTTATATAGCATTATATTACATTTTAATTCAGATTTTAAGCGAAGTTTTTATATATTATTAAAAATTAGGAGCATTTTTACCAACCAACAAAAGGACACTACAGTGGTACCTTGATTTACATTGCTTTGAAATACATCCAACTTGGAGTGTGTTCATATTTAGACGCGAAGAACTTTGTTTGGGATACTCCATCTGTTTTCGATTTCAATGAGTCGAGAGTGCTAGCTCTACTTTTACTTAGGCTTTCAAGACAATGCTAAGACTGTCCATGAGCTACTCCTATTGCTACTATTCAGTTAATTAACAAAAGTAAACTCTAAATTTTCACGTGATTATATATTTTTTGCATATAGGTTAACGATGAGTTTTAAGAAATTTAAGGAGAAGATTCAGCCACAAAGAATGTGGTTAGGGAAGAGGTGTAAAAAGAGATCTTTAAAAAGTATGAAGGGGGTGTGCATTGAATACTGCATACTATATAATGAGAATGACGATATCTATGATTGTTGAAATCAAAGACACTATTAGACGCCATCGTTGCGTAAATAGTGAAATTGGTTACCAAACAAACCTCAGAGACTTTAGATTATGTTTAGCAATTGCTTTTGATCTAGATGACAGAAAAAATGTTTATGTACAGTATTTCATTAATGTACGGCATGTTGTTAACCAACTGCACTTGTATTTTAGTATTAAACAGTGTTATAATTATTACAATAGGATCCCTTTTCTAAGAACGAATTAATTACCGTATTTGCCGGTTTATAAGATGCACTTTGTTTCATTGAAAATAGGTCTGAAAAACGGGGTGCGTATACACCGATACTGCGTCTTTATACGTCGATACGTCGCTTGTGAATGGATTAAAGTTTCGTGAGATGCTGTAAAAACAGAAATGGTTAAATCATTTAAGGAGTCTGGCATTAGTAATGCACGGGATGGTACAGAGGACAATTTGTGGATGAGGACTCAGATGTTGATTTAGAAGTGGTTTCAAGTGACTCTTCATTTAGCTATTGAGATGAGTGTCTGGGTTTTGACGAAGGAGATTAAAAGGTGTTCTTTCCCAGACTGATTGGGTGTTTTCGGAAAGTATTACTTTGTATTTAAAATACTGTCTAAATTCATTATAATGATCAGTGATAAAGTTTCATCTGTTAGCAATTAATTAGTTCCTTTATTAAAAATACATTCCGTCAAAAATTAATTGTTAAATACCTTACTTTTATTCAGAACATTACCGTCAACATTACTGCTCAAAACATTACAGTTCAAAATTATCGTTCTGAAAAAAAAAAAAAAAACTGTTGTTCCAATCGGGAAATACATTTTAAATAAAATTAATACGTTGCGTTTACATTCGGGCATCCTGACTTAGTTACGACCTCGGAACATTAAGAACTTATATTAAAAAAATTAAATCTGTATATTAATGTTTATAGTTCGATAGTCTTTAGCTGTCATATAGATTCACCGTCGTTTTCTATTCTTTTCCGTGTGCCTAGTTTTAGCAATATGCGGCGTGTTGTTATCGTTATCCCCAGTAACACTAATGTCCACCATCATCACCGTCCTTCTGATTCAGCTTGACACTGCCATGACTTTAATTGGCTCACATGAGCTGTCGTCGTACTAAAGAAATGTCCTTTCACCTTCTCTTCTAATTGAGTCACTCTATAGGTATCACTTGGTAAAACTTCTGTAACTACTAAAGGTCCTCGATACTTTTGTTGTGTTTTGGTTGATTCTCCAGTTGATTTAGGTACTCTTCTCATAACTACTATTTCTCCTGTAAGATTACTGGATTCTCCCATTCATCTGCGTCTTCATCTGTAATCATCCTCATCAATCCGTCGTTAAATTTTGGTGAATAACCGTGAAGCATTTCGAAAGGAGTTTTATTTGTAGTCTTATTTATCATATTGTTTAGATTTCTTTCGCATTCCTTAATCATTTTGTCCCAGTCTCTCTGATTCGGATTTTCCATACTCGTTTTAATTGTAGCCAAAATTGTACGATTTGCTCTTTCCGCCATTCTATTACCACTTGGATGTTGAATTGAATTGCGTGTGTGACTGATTCCATTATTTTGGCAGTACGCACGAAATTCCTTCGCTGTGAAACATGTTCCACTATCGCTGATAATTTTTTCTGGTAACCCACAATCATCTAGAAAATTCTTCAATGCAACTAAGACATACTTGGTTGCAGTACTTTTCAAAGGATATAAACGTGTAAATCTTTTAAAATTTTCAATTATTACAAATAATTCTGTATTTCCTCTTGAACGTTTTACGAATGATTCTAAATGATCCATTGCAAAAGGTCTTCTACCAGGTCTAATTGGATGCAGTACTCCTTGTTTCTTACCACTAGGCACTTTATTTACTAGGCATTCGAAACACATAGAAATGTGACGCATAACATATCTGGTTTCATTACTTTAAACCAGTATGATTCTTTGATTTTGGCAACAGTTCTGTCTGCTGAAAAATGTCCCAAAAGATCGTGAAATTTTACTACAATACCTTTTCTCATCGATTTAGGTATGACATATAACAATTTCTCCTTTTCCTGATCTTTCACTTTACGAAACAATCGATTATTCTTCAAGACGTTGTAGGGTTTATATTTATTTTAACTAACATTTATTTTAAGTTTAAACTATCTTTCCTGTCAAGCCTTACTTTCCCCTGGAACTGCCAATGCCAGAGTATGTAAATTTTAGTAGAACGCGCAAGGATTCAAATTATCAGCGGAAGTATTGAGTTAAATAGAAGGAAACGAGTTCGAGGTGTGCTGTTCTTACTTCACGAGCGCGGAGGTAGTTAGCCAGAATTGAAGAACCCCGCGTTTCGGCCTGTGTGCTTGCATGGAAGAATTGTTAATCGTTCAACGGATATTCAAGTTTGCTGAATTAGCAGCGGTATTGTAAAACGCGGTGAGGTTAGTTACGTTATTTTAGAGAGCCTCGTAGTTAGAGTCTTGTCTTTAGTTTCTTTTCAGGTTATTATTTTATTTTACCGCCGAGTTGGCGTAGTTTGTGAGCGTCAAGAGAACGCAATTGTAATTTATTACGTTGAATAAAAAGGGACTTAAAACCCTTAACAGACTCTGTCATTTATCCAGTTTCACAGTCACCTCTTGGTTGCGTGCAAGTTGGAAGGCGCGCAACGTTACATTGGCGCCCGAACACTTGTCGAACTGAAATGGCCGAAAATTGGACGGAACCGTTTCTGGACGACAAAGAGAACTGGCAAGCCAATTGGAAGGATTTGGATACCTGGTCCAGACGAAGAGAGCGTCAATTAAGCCAAACGTCAATTTCGACGCAAAAAATTCGGTGGCAATATTTTTAGAAGGCCTAGAATATCATTTCCAGCTCTACCCTGTGCCTGAAAGACAAAATAGTTGCCATCGCCACATCTCCAACTAAGAGGACGGGCCGCACT